TTTCTTTCGCTCGCTCACTCCGTAGCGGTGGATTCGGCGACCGGCTCGGTATTGTGATCGGCCGATTTCCAATAACAGCTGCTTTGGCAAACAGCCTTTTTCCAAATCATTCGGAGTGCACATCAAAAAATCACCTGGCCACCACCATTTTAACCTATTTTGAAAATAATGTATCAGATATACTATGCGGTCGATTTTAGTTGAAAACTTCTTCGTGAAAAGAATGACATCCATAGCTTCACGTGCGTCTTTCTGTCATGCACAGGGGATGCACAGTTAGGGGGAGGCAGAAAGGGTCCCTCCTATATTGGAAACGGAATAATCACATTCGCTAAATCGAAACGAATGCCAAAACTGAATAATGAAGTGCACATTCCATTCTATCAGAAAATTTCACAGTCAATCACCTTCTCCACTGATGCATCAGAAGATTTTCCTAAATGGAACATGGTGCACTGTTTGAGCTCAGCGAGGTACCCGACGAATTGTGGGCCATTACGGCGCTATCTGAAACGCTGACCAGCAAGGGTCTTGCACACTCACCAGGGAGGTCTTCCAGGAAATGCCAAGCTTTTTCAAAACGGTTTTTTGCATGATATAGGGACACATGCATGGAACACCAAACTAGTTCATTTTTCCTGAGCGGCCCCTGAATACCAAAAAAGGGGAGCGAAAAAAAATTCTTAAGGAACTGCGGGCGGTGGCTACCGTCGTCGGGTGAAGTACATCGCGACAGGGGTTGACCAGTTTCATATCAAAAAGGTTTGAATTTTACCGCAAACAAGGCGGATGTTCCAGTCAACTAGGACGATCTCCTTGCCTGTTTGACACTATTGTGGAAAATTCATTCCAGCGCATGCGAGTTGGGGTGTCGCGGCAGTCGGTTGGCTTGGGGGTTAGTGTTGCCGCGGTTGTGATGGAAGTGGAAGGGGCGTTGTTGATGGTTCGACTACACAGCGCCAAAGTTTGCTTTTTTTTTCTATTGTCATTTTCCTGTGATCGTGCACTCCTGCGCATGCATATACGCGGATTTATGTTCGTTTTGAGATCCTACGACTGCGAATTCGTTTTGGTCTTCCACGAACTTGTGTGTGCATCGATAGAAATTTTATAATTCATAAACATTGCCCCCGGAAGGCTTGGAGAAGGGTATGTGGAATAGCGGGGAGGTCGTGGCTAGTGATTGTGCGGACCCGAGGTTTCATGCAGACAAGTCTCACAAACGTGCGTTTTTTTGCAGGGATGAGCTGTATCGCAGAATAGACCAGCCAGAGTTGACCAGGCGCCAGTCGGCCACTGTTTTAGGATGGAGAGAAGCAATGAACCTTCTCGCCAATCGCACCAACGCGGCTTGAGTTTCACATGTCTAATTGCGGGAAGGATTTTCAGTCCGTGAAGAGCTGACAGGAGGTCGCCTCAAGTATCTATTAGGTTGTCTCATAAAGTAGTGTCGCTTTTTTTCAACCAAAAATTTTCATCTAAATCCCCATGCTTTTACATTATTCATATACCTTCGAAAGAGAATTGTCTGCTCTACAAGATGCTGTGTTCTTCTTCCATCTATGTTCCATGGTTTTCAAATTTTAGGCCTGCGAAATGGGAGGTCCGCCGACAAAAATTGACCAAACCGACAACTATCTCTAACTTTATCTTCCCTTTGGAGAAATCAATCAATACTGTACCCTCTACTTATGCATGACCTCTTCTAAACATTACACTATTAGGGTTTCCCAACAAGTCGCGTCATTCCATTTCGGACCTGGTTTTTCAACCAGAACTCGACGGTCGAACACCATACCTGATTTCGAGGTTCGAATTTGCTTAGAGCAAGCATTGAAAAACTGGTGAATCCAAGACAGTCTATGCTAGGTTAGCATGTAGTTGTAGTGGATTTCTATCTCCTCAAGGTAGTTTTTTTCCAAAACAGCGGTCCTTTCGTGGATAAAGCGCACTTATCTGAACACAGATTCGAGCATACTCCTAATACATTCAAACAAAACAAATGAGCGAATAGAGCAGAAGAAGTGCTCACAAAAGATACACCAGTTGATATAAAACAATAGCGTTTCAGAGGAAGAATTTCAATTTGAAAATTGCCATGGCTTATCGGTCGGCCAATTCGAAAAGAAACAGGGCAAACCTTTTTCGGCAACCTAAGGGTGGAATGTTCAGAAGAGGTCATGAGTAAGTAGAGGGTACATCATTGATTGATTTCTCCGCAGGGAAAATAAAGTTAGAGCTAGTTGTCGGTTTGGTCAATTTTTGTCGGCGGGACCTCCCATTTCGCAGGCCTCAAATTTGAAAATTGAACATAGATGGAAGAAGAACGAATCTGTAGAGCAGACAATTCTCTTTCGAATGGTATATGACTCGATGGTAAAGCGTGTTTAGTGACCAAGAATTTTGGTTGAAAAAAAAGCGAAGCGACACTATTATAGACAAACGTGGGAATCCAATGAGCTGAGGGTCAGTAGTGTTTACCCATGGTCCAAAGTTCGAAGTTGGGACGAAATTCTTAAGTTTCCCTGAAACTTTCGGGTTAGGGGTTATTCGGCGTCCTGATTACGAATATTCTATTAGTTTTTAGCGTAAACGTCATTTGAATTCGCTATGACGCCATTGGGCGCTACAACGGCGCCGTTTTGGTCATGTCGCAATTTCTCCACCAGTTTTTTTAGTCAAAATCTATGTATTAAGGTTGCTGTTGCTCCTAGTTATAGATATGACATCTGCTATTCACGCTGACACCCTTTTTCGTAAACTTTGGAAGCGCGAACAGAAAATGCAAAAAATTGTCACTGTGAGGATTCGAACCACGGACCACTTCATAACCCCTTTTTTGGTATTCAGAAGGCCGCTCAGGAAAAATGAACTATAGTTCAGTGTTCCATGCATGTACCCCTATATCATGCAAAAAACCGTTTTGAGAAAGCTTGGCATTTCTGAAAGACCTTCCTCGTCAGAGCGTGTGTCTCTAGGAAGCTATCCAACAATTAACCGACTAAAGAGATTTTGTAGCTGCTTCAGGAGCTTTACGGTAGGTCTTCTTGAGCTCGACGGTGATGACAGATGACGTCATATTCTGAAGACGGTGAGGGCAGTGAAGGAGGGCCTGCTTCTGCTTATGGGGGACATCTAAGGAATATTTTGCCATGAAACTCCCATCAACACGGCACTCTATGCGACGAAAAGTTTGATGATAAGCGCCATGGGCTAAGTAATTCTCTTTTTTGTCCACTGCCCTCTTGTGTAAGGCTCAGCTTAATGTCGTTACTGATTTTTTCTTGAAAAGTCTACACCAGATTGCTGAGACCTTGAGATTGCTGAGTAGCCTCTCCGTGGCCTCGAGAGCCGTACTATGTAACAGTAGGTGGCTCACCTTGAGATTGAGTGATCAACTCTGATCTCGGGCTCAGAAAGCTTGCAAATATAGACGATTGCACCAGCGGGCATAAATTGCCTCGATCCAGCAGGCCATATCGTCTAAACTTAAAGCGAGAGATTACGATAAAGTGTGTGTGCAGCGTGGAAGTACATGCACCAGTGGAAGCAGTAGTCAGGGGCCAAGGAAAGCGAAATGTTGCGTTTTTGTGGTCAAAGGTGCGCTAGTTGTGTAGTAGAGTACCATTGTTCTTAGCATTTGGATGAGGTATTCCACTTAAGGTGCGTATCCTGTGAATTCCCATGGAATGCTCATCAATCAAAGCTTGGACTCGTCCATTATCGGAGGTCAACGGGCAAAGAAAGGGTCCCATTTTGCGCCTTCTTGACGGATTTCTTTGCTTTTTTCGCCACTGGGGCATTATTCAGCATCTCCACTTCCACTATGAACCCAGTCCAATCTTATCGTAATCCCTCGCTTTAAGTAAATATAGTTTCCCTAACAATCTTGTGAAGCTGGAAAGAGAATTCGTATACTTCTACAGCCATCAAACAAACATTGAGAAAACCTTTAAAGCCACGAGTCAGGATTAGGTGACCATAGAAGGCCTTTCCATCACTAATATTTCCAGGAATGCGCTCAGAGGGGTGATGCCACACTCCTGACTCGAGATTGCGCGCCGTCAAGGCCTCTGGCCTACTACTTACAGCGATGGGTTCGTTTCATCAGCTGGTCCCGCCCACCGCGGGATGTGGTGCGTGGCTGGCCTAACGTGTGAGATCAGCTAGGTTGATTGCCGTATCAACCGATGGAACGGCTGGCATATCCGGAAAACTCGTTTGGACGTGGCTCTCCCCCGAGCAAGCCTCCTTCACTGCTAGAAGGGAAGGGGTTTCGATTTCGGTCTTGTCGACGGTTTTTTTTTCGTTTTTTCTTCACTGTCGTTCCACCTCCCATCTCTACACTCAATTTCAGGCGCCATAATGCCCAAACACGAGCCTGACTTTTGCCTTTAAGGTGGTTCGCTTGAGTACCATGCAGGTGGACAACTGTACTCTTCGATTCTACAATAAAGATGGAAACCATCTTCCACTCCGGAGTGCGTAGGCAGGAAACGGCGTAGACTGAGCGATTTTGTTTAGTGCTCATCCCAACCCAGTTGGGCTATCAAAACAGCCCCTTTTGTTTTTGGCTACCAATGAACATTTTGAAAAAACAATAGTGCGATGGTCTCTCAGTTCGATAGTGACAAGTCCTATCGCAGTGAGCACAGATGGCTCTGTTACATTCAAAACGGATAACTGTTGATGGTGGAGAGAACTAGAAGTACCTAATACATAATGAATCAAAAATCTAGCAAAAGCATGTGCTCGTTTTCAAGGGCGCCTGATTACAGTCTGCTTCGGCATCGCGGCATCAGAGAAGTTTCGTCTGACGTGGGCACAAAATTTTGCTTTTTAAGCAGACATCGATTGATGGCGATGTAGTCGTGAACGATTGCTCGTTGTTGGCCGTGTGCTTCGATCCAGCCGTCGCTTCCCACTGCTTCCATATTCATAACAGTCTACCTTTTTGTGGACAAAGTGCTTCTTGGTTTCTAGAAATATTGCTCCAGTAGATGATGTCGTTGAGCTCGCTTCAGGAAGAGGACTTGGACGAGATCTGTATCGATTTCCCATCGGATGTCTGGTCGGTTCTTCATTGCACCATTAACCTAGGCAGCTTTGCTTCATTTATTCTGCTTATATAAACTAAGGTGTGGACCTCTTTCTACCAGACTGAGTTTCCAAATTTTGTAAAAAAGTTTGAAGTTTGCAAAAATACTCGCTTTGAGAGGAACAAATAATGGAGGCTGGTATACGAATTGTGCCAGGTTTTCCATAGGTTTCAATTAGTTAGCTTCGAATTTTTCCAGTGCTGTTTTCTATAACTTCGGGAGCGGCCAAGGTGGACAGCGGTAATCACTTTTTCTTGGATGCGCCATGCCAGAGACACTCAGCAGGGACATGTGTGTATTAATCTGTCCACCCCATACCTTTTCTGGTCGGGCGCAGGATGAATTATTACGTTGAGAAAATCTTGGAATTCCCCCCCCCCCGAAACGCGACCCATACGACCTCATTTAATCAATTATCGATCATCTCTGTGGTGCCGTTAGGTCTCAATTACATTGACAGATTTCAAACTGCTAAAATTCCAAAGAGGCGCTGTGCGGGGGTAGAAATGTTGGAGCGGCAGAGCTTTCGGGCTTCTCCAGGGACTCAGATTCTAAATTTTCCAACCAAAATCCGCAGTAAACGGCTTGTTTGTTCTTCTGTTTCTTCACAAATATGACCCTCCCTCTTTTAGAACCTTGGGAACGACCCCAATCCCTCGTTGAAAAAACCCGATTGAATGTTGGCCGTGAATGCTTGGAAAAACAAATGGAATATTTCGACATTGATTGATTTCACCAATATTTGTGTTGTGCGAAAACGGTCTGGCCCTGCTTTTTAATTGAAAATCCATAACTGGCTGTGGCTACGAAATTTTGTTCAGAGCGCTTGGTTATGAAAGGCGTGTTGTCCGTAGAATGTGAAAGAGATTGAGCTTAAAAGCGAGTGTACCACTGATTTTAGTTTCCGCCTTTTACCCCCTTGAAATGACAATAAATAGCAAACGTAATAAAAGCCTTCGAAACAAAGTAACCCCCTACCTGAACAGATGTGCCACTCCGCCCTGTGAACACCTTTTCTAGTACATGAAATTACCAAATAGATACTATCGGGCCCGACCTTGGTGTTACTTTTACTGCGAATTTTGAACAACATCCCCAATCATTTTACATCATCAATTATGCGACGATAGGTCGCGCTTGCGCAGTTTCCCTTTCACTCCGTGAGTATATGGCGAATTGTTCTCCTGCAAAAAAAATCCAGAATGTTACCACTTACCGATAAACTTCATAGAAAACCCCATCCATCGCGCGGGCTGGCTAGCTCTACCTGTGGTACGCTTGTTTGACGCCCTCACACCTCGTTGCCCCCGACTGCACATCCGTAAATGCCTAAAGCGCTAGTCAACCACGTCGAACTTGATCTTGTACTACAAAGTGCAGTGATCGTGCTGGCAGAGTGCTTTGTGGATCCTCTGCTCGCACTGGATTTCGAATAACATTTGAAAATCATGGTGTTGATTGGCTCACTCCCTCACCCATGGCCTGCTGTTGTTTCCCTCTGAGCTGTCTGCTCGTGAGAATTTTGTAAGTGACTTCTGTTGAAGTGGTAGACATACTCCCAACAGTGAAACCTGCACTCGTTTGGCCAAATGTTCCCTTTTTCGTAGGAACAGAGAGGAACAGGGTATAGTATCCATGGCGGCCCATGAGCAGCTATTTGGCTGCTGTGTAATAAACTCCTTGCGGTCCCATCCCCACTCAACATCCTTCTACTTTGAGAACTATCCGTAGTAGCCGGAAATACTTTTTTTCGCAGTACAGTACTTTGTTGTCGCCTCCTTCAATGTATTAGTAAAAGTTCTGAAATATTGGTCCGAAATATTGGTGAAAAGATGAAAATTTAGATAACAGAAAGGTTTTTGATCGCTTCCTCTTCCTCTTTGTTTTCCATAACATAGTGAACAAAAGCTGTCCTAAGTAAGAAGTCATATCGAAATCCAAAAGAGTCTTTCTCGAATCAATTTACCTTTTCCGCTTGATTTCAAACCCAGAAATCGGAACTCACCTCTTAAAAAAGGTCCTAATGAAATCTCATACTTTTTCCCTCATCGGTATTTCTTGCAAATTTTCACTTGAATCGAGCAAATAAATTCCGACTCATCACTCACTAGATCTCCTTAGTTCGTCCATCACATTGTTGTGCTACCCCGCTGTTTATTTTCAACAACTTTGGGAGAAAAGTATCGAAATCCCCCATATACAATGTTAAGTATATTTTTTTTCTACTATTATCAAAGGTCCTTATTCCTAATTCCGCAGCGTCATCCACCCCAGCAAATCAGGTAATACGGAAACCTTTAGGAGTCTTCTTCACCTGACTCCAGGCGGCAAATGTTCCCACGGAAACTGGCTCTACTCAGATCCATAGTATCAACCGTATGAAAGTTCGTGTAGCAGCCTCGACCTATAGCACACGATGCCTCGTTTGAGAGAAGAATGATGGCTGATGATCCGGGCATTGGAGGACGGTATAGTGATTGAGGAACCGCTTGCTCTTTCATTGAAGGATTACTTCGGAATATTTGCATAATTTCCTAATAAGTAGCGGTGCTCTGCGCGAACGAAAGTTTGGTTATATGTTCATGCCTCCTGAGCGGAATACGCTTTTTGCTTCCCTACCCTCCCCCTCCCCCTGTGTATTCACCCATTAAAGTTTCTCTAGTCGCACCAAGACCACAGATCTAATGCTGATCAAACTTTTATATTCTAGTGCCAACACTAGCACCAAAAGCGAAAGGTTTGCCTATGAAGCATTTGAAGGATGGCTCGCGCGCAGCCCATTAATTTTGCGGCAGATTTGCCCAGCAGATATGTAAAATGTCTTTCGCAAGGCCCGTTCAAGAATATAATAAGTCTATAGCACGGTTCTCGATGCAGTACTACCAGCTAGCAGGACGAGTGTTGGGTCACGCCTCCGTTAGATGAGTCTACACATTCCGATGCAGCATAATTGACGCATGGTTTCATGCGCACGAAGGTTTTGTAAAAATTAGCCACCTACTAATCGAGCACTCAAGAACAAATATCGTTTTGTCGGCGCCAAAAATATGCGGAAGGTGTATAAAGAGCAATGGAAAAATTACATACTTTTACCCGACCGCTAGCCAATTCTTTCCCCAGTAAATGACAGGAGAAATACTAATTTTTACAAATCAAATTTAACGCATTGAACGACAGTTTGACGCGATGGCACGCCGGGAGGGCACCTAAGTATCATCTTCTTTTCTCGCTCTTGCGCCACCTGCCCGAATTATTTTGAATACATTCCATGACCAACCACCCCAACCGCAAACGAACTAATCCTGTTGGGCAAAATATGCTTCTAATTTAGTCAGATTTTTTCAAGACAATTTCGATTTGCAGGCTTCTAATTTTCTTCTTATTCTCCCATGTGGATAAAAAGGATAGCATAAGTAAACACAAACCTATAAAAACAAGAAAGTAAATCAAATTAAATTAAATTTCCTCGGGGTAATTGCATCAAAAAACTTTCGACGTCCACAGTAGAGAAAAAGCATAAAATTTGCCTTTCAACCACCATTATACGTTCTTTTGATCTAATTCTACCACTACACCCCCGATTAACTTCTACGCATCGAGTATTGTTGAAATGGTTTTGTGCCATCCACTTTAAGCATAGCTGTTACTAAAATTTACGAGTTTGAGGTGGGCGACCGTACTCGCGAAACCGCGCCTGTCTCACGTGGCCAAAAAAGCCGAATAACGCGCTATCGCCAACGTGTTAGGCTTAGCGCCTAACATTGTCTTAGTTCATCCATTCTTGCGCTCAGGAGTTTATGGATGCAATTGTTCCTTTTGAAGAATAACGAAATTCAGGCACAATAACGACTCACGACGGCACAGTCGAACGCTTACAGGAGGAGTTCGAGAGCAGCTACACTCTGGGTCAGTTGAGCTTCACCATTTTAGATTCTCAGAGTTATCGTGAAAACTGGTGCATTTCAGAATAAAAATGGGCCGTCGAAGTTATTCCCAACCTGAAATCCATGTGGTCACTGAGTCATTCGTCAGGCCCGACGAGGTTCGCTCCACATATATTGATAAAATTACATGGGTACCCGACAGGAGGCCCGTCGCGCGGCAAGAAGGCAGAGTCAGCGGACGAGTCGCAGCGCGTACTGTAGTGATTTCGCGTCAAGTTAAATAGAATGTACCATTGTACGTCCTACATCGCACATCACGCGCTGCGACTCGTCCGCTGACTCTGCCTTCTTGCCGCGCGACGGGCCTCCTGTCAGCACCCCCGTTTACAATCTGGCGTCTAGATTCGCCTACTTTTTCAGTTGCTTTTCTCCAGTGGGGCGTCCAGAGCACCAAGTGAAATGAACGTAAGTACTTAGCTACAGATATATCGTATTTGCTAGAGTAGAATCGAATTATTTTCTCAGTGGGATAGCACTCGCCAGACTCAGCAGTCACTTTCCGAGCCAGCCAGACCGCTTGTGCACCATGCAGTCTCTCAAAGTGCTCTCTCCGATTGCGTTTCCTTACCACTTCGACGAACCGGGTGAGCTATGCAATTACTGGGTCAATTGGAAATGTTCATTTGCTGAGAAGGGGAGCCAAGAACACAGAATATGAATATTACGTAGGACGTTGAAAGCCACTTTTTTGCGCGATGCTTTTGGCTGCGAGTTGGTCGGTGGCACATGGCCCGTGCGAATGGAAGGAGCGTTGCGACATTCAGTTGTAGTACAAATAACTCTGCCTTGTTCACTTTGGATAATGTCGTGCCTGCTTACAGCGTAATTCAGATCTCCTGGAACGCGAAGCCACAGCTGCCAAGGGCTCACTTAGACCACGGTTTGGGCTGCCTAGCGCTGAGCCGCCCTCAATTGGAAAGTACAGCAGCTAGCGTTTGATCAGATAGTCCTGCGTTGTCCTTACCACTGTACACACAGCGATTTCTTCTTTGTGCTACTAGTCTGCGCCTTTCTCCATCAGTCACTTCACAAGCAGAGCTGCTTAGAAATCCTAACATTCTGTTGAAGCAATTATTTGATAAACACCTCAATTTGATCCAACTGAGAAACGGCAGCTATTCGGTGTCAACCTACACTGAACAAAACGTTGATCTTGAAACTGCTTTCCAAATCTGCCAAACGATTTTCTGAACGGAGTTATGAAGCAAAATAGAGCAGCGGTACTGGTCCGGAGCCCACGGGCGAGAGGTCGTAGGATCGATTCCCTGACGAGAGTTGGCCGCAGAATTGCCCTCAAGAGTATTTTCATCTCCGGAACACAAACATGACAAACAAACACACGTGTGGGCCAAAACGTCTGTCAAGAATTCTGCGGCTCCATGTGCGTCGTTAGCAAGTAGCGCCCAAACTTGTTCAGGAACTAATCTCAACTCTTTGTTCGGATAACTATAGGCAAGCCTTGATCGAGTGATATGACTGATAGCCTTTTCCAACATGTTACCGCGGAGGCGAAAGGGAGAACACGTGCCGTGAATCCAGACCACTACCGCTGCTCACTTTTACT